AAAATAAAACCCCATCCTGTTACCATGACCAACCAAGCCCTACACGATCCACACCAAAAGTATCTGCTTGATCTCCAAATCTTGTACCCCTTTTTCTTGGCTTTGTGTCACAGTTCTTGTTCCCTGAGTCAGGACTGGAGGAAAAATACAACAGAGACTTTTGCTTAGCACCATGCAGCTAACATCCGTTTTTCGCTCAACTCTTTAAAATACTCTTTGTCTAGAAGGTATAATCTCTATTTTAAAAATTACACCGAATTCCAGAGAGTGGGAGGTCAGGTAGGGTGTGAGTGATTGTAAGATTTTAGCTCCAATTCGCGTCTTCTGACGACCATTTCAAAGAGGAAGGGCAATATTTATAGTTAATGATAGATGAAACACGTTGATCAAATGTCAAAGCCCGGATGAATAAGGAAATAATGGTGTCATAAAACTGGTAACTGCAGAGTCCAGGAAAGAGACGCAAAAGGATCACAGAGCCTAAGTCCCTGCTTGGAGGCTGCACAGTGACAAATGGCTCTGGCTCCTAGGCCTGCAGCACAGCTAGATGACACCGCATGAGTCACCTCAATCCTCCAAGTCTCAGATTTCCTTCCTGAAGAAAAAGTGGGGGGAGAGTTTCGTGAGCTTGTGTTTGGCAAAGAATTCTTAGAAACCACACTAAAAGTACGATCTTAAGAGAAAATAAACTTGATAAGTGGATGCCATCAATACCTTGTTAAGACAATTAAAAGACAAGTCCCAAGCTGAAAGAGATTTATAAAACTATGTAATTGATAAAGAACTCATTTACAGATCTCTATAAATATTTTAAATTCAATATTAAGAGACAAGCAAACTTTTAAGTGTGTGTGTGTGTGTGTGTAGGAGCACACACTCATGCATACATGTATGAAGGTGAGGACTTTATCACTGTCCACATTATTTTTCAGGCAAGATCTCTTATTGAACCTGGGATTTACCAACTGGCTAGATCAGCTAGCCAGTCCACTCCCTTGGTTACCCAGTCTTAGGCTCCCAGTTCTAGGACTGCAGGGATTGCTGTGTCTGTCTTGTAATATGGGTACTGTGACCTGAACTCAGGTCCTCATGTTTGCAGGGCAAGCATGCCACCACTGAACCATCTTCCCAGCACCAGCTTTCTTTTTAAGTGGGAGACGTATTTGCGTGAAAGCTTTATCAAAAAATATATAGAAAGTCAAAATCTCTGCAAGAAACTGGATATCATTAGCGCTTAGGGAAATGTAAAAGCCCACAACAAGGAAACACTGGTACAAATCTGGGATCCTCACTGTTGACCATGATGTAAATGGTTTAGAGCATTGAGGGACATTTGATCACAACATCGTAGAATGTTACAAAATGTAAAGGTCTCAAAAACCATCTGTAAATGTCTTATAATATTAGATATACGTGTATCATAAACCCCAGCCATTTTACTCCTAGACTTTTTACCTATAGAAAGTGAATGTCCATATCCGTACAAATACTTGAACGTCAATATTTGTTTAAGCTACGAGCTAGGAAAAAATAGCTACCAACAGAAAATGAACGAATAAATAATAAATGTTTATCTAATGGACCCTGCTTGGTAGTAAGAAGGAATGTCCTGATGGGGCAGGATGGAGAAGCAGTGGCTGGGGACGAATCGGGAGAGGATGGTAGTGGGTGGGGAGTGAATGGGGGTGACCAGGGGAGCAGATGGGAGAATGGATTAGATGAGTGGGTCAAAGTGAATACGAGGGCTATGGCGACGGTGGTGGGGTGAGAAGCTGATGGAGTGGAGATGAGGATGCACAGGGAGTATGCTGGGGATAGACTGCTGAAGATGGGTGAGGAGTGATCAGGGGTTAAATGGGGTCACATAGCGGTTGGGAGGGGATGGATGGAGCTGCATGGTCATGGACATACATGGTGATGGGTGGGGTGGGTGGGAAGAGGTGGGTGAAGTAGATGGGGAGTGGATGGGAGGCAGGTGGGGAGTTTTGCTGGTGGCTAGTGTATGGATGGGGTGGGTGGAAGTTGGATAGATGGTGGATATGGGTAAAAGACGGGCCTGAATGGAGGTGTATAGGGAAGGGATGAGGTCCAATGAAGGTAGAGAAGAGAAGGTGTGGGTCACGGCTGCATGACGAATCGGGGGAGGTAGACAGAGGATGGATGGAGTTTGACAAGAGTGGAGGCAGGTGGATGGTGGGGAGGATGTGGGTTTGCTGGGGCCTGGTTGTATGGGGCAAATGAGATCCTGGGGTATGCAGATGGTGGATATACAACGGAGTGGGTTGTGTCGAAGGTATTGAGGGACTTACAGGACAGATGGAGGAGGTGCATAATGTTGGATAGTGGGAAAGAAACTGGAGGGGTAGACAGGTGTGTGTGTGTGTGTGTGTGTGTGTGTGTAGGGGGTGTGGGCCATAGTTTGGAGTGTGTAGAGGAGCAGTGGATGGAGAGGGTTGAAGCTAAGAGGATGACAGTGAACTGTACAGGAGATGTGGAGTGCGGTGGTGGAGGGAGGTATTGAGTGTGCATGGAGAGCATGGAGGAGAGTGGGTGGGAGGACAGGCATGGGGGATGGGCTGGGTATTTGGGCAGTGGTAGAGCTGTGTGCACAGGGTTATGGGGGGCAGCAGATGAGGCAGGTGGAGGGAGCAGCAGATGGGGGACTCAAAGGATTGTGGGTATGGGGTATGGATGGGGTGAAAGCGGTTTGTGAAGGAGTATGAAGTGTGTGGAGGGGAGTTGTCAGGGAGCGTAGAGAAGGAAGCAGATAGCAGGCTGATGGCCAGGGTGGCTTGCTGACAGGAGTGACAGGTAGTGTAGGAAGTATTAGAAAGCGGGAGGTAGGTAACCGATGGAAGTTGAAGGAAGGCTTCGGAGGAGAGGTGATCCCGGATGTCAGGAGTGACCGACAGGAAGGTGACAGGAAGGGTGTGGGTGGGAGATGGGGAAAGCGTGGATGTGTGTGGTTGAGGACTATGGTGGAGGGGAGTTGGGGTGATGGTGGAAGACGGCGCGTGCAGGAAATGTGTAAGGGGATGTGGTGAAAGGAGGTACAGAAGCAGGTAGCAGGGCGTGCGAAGGGAACATGGATGGGAATGTGTGAGGAAAGGGGGAGGAGCAGCAGGGACAGAGACAGAGAAAGGAGGGGTGTGTAAGCGGAAGGAGATTGTGAAGAGAGGGAGGGGGAGTACAAAGGAGGAAAGTGAGGGAAAATGGGAGGAAGAAGGGATAGGGAGGAGGGAAAGACGGGGGAGGGGCAGGAAGGGGAAAGGAGATGGGGAAATAAAGGGACAATACATGGAGGGGACAACTATGAAGAGAGGAGCCAGGAACGGATGGAGAATTGGGAGGGAGGTCGAGGAAGGGAGGGGCAGAGAGAGAGGATGGTAGAAGAGGAGAGGGAAAGGAAAGAGAGGAAGGAAACGATCACTGGAAGTCACGGCAGGAATGTCATGAGGAACGACCATGGACCACACTCCTGCATAGACACATCCCCCTGACAACAGGAGCAACCCGTGGCTTTCACAAAGATGATAGGACACAGCTCCCCTAACCATACAATACAGCGAAAAGAGGATTCTGCAGAATTTGTTGGAGTCCCTAATCAGTTGGTATTGAATTAGTCATGGGAGAACTTAGTCATGTAAGCCCTTTTACGAACAAAGCAAGTATATGAAGGCATAATTCTATTAGAATTTGCACAACCAAAACATAAACACATAATAAAACTTCATATATGAGGGGGGCATCTGTCTTTAAATGAGTAAATTGTATAGTACTGTATTATATTGTACTATATTGTATTGTATTACTGTATTGTATTGTATTGTATTATATTGCACTATACTATACTGTATTGTACTGTACCGTGCCTCAATGACAGGTTTTTAACTTGACATGGTAGGATTATGCCATTGAATTCTGAGCCTGCAGGTTCTAACGCTAATGCGGATCCAGTGAAAGTTTGGGAATGTGAGAGTATTTCCCCAGACATAATTAGCACACTAGACTCTGGAGTATGTAGCTTTTTCATGATCCTGGTCATTAAGAAGGGATAAGGTTTTGTTCAACTTCATCCATTCCTTTGGTTTTAATGCCTAATCTGGGTTTTAGCTGGGTAATCTTAGGTTTCTGTGTTTTTCTTTACTTCGGGATATTTTGTTCTTAAATGATAGGTATTTTCCAGACTCACGGGATCTAGACTGCTTAGGTCTAGTCCTGAATTTTACTTTCTTCAGCTGGAACTCGCTCTGTAGATCATGCTGGCCTCGAACTCAGAAATCCACCTCTGCCTCCCAAGTGCTGGGGTAAAGGTGTGTGCCACCACCGCCAGGCTATTTTGTTCTTAAATGATAGACATTTTCCAGGCTCGTGGGGGATAGACCCTGCTTAGGTAGAGTCCTGGGCTTCACTTTCTTCAGTTGCTGTCAGGGGGGGGGGTGTATGCTGAATGAACCTGCCTAGCCTGACCTTTATTGCATAAGGTTCCTAACAGAAAATACATATTGACCTGTTAAAGTAAAAAAGTATTTGCTCTCACTGCAACTATTCTAAGCAAAACAAGGACCAGGAAAGTAACAGGGTGCTGGTGTTCCAATCTGTTATGAAGCAATGAGGAAATACTATTGTGAAGTCTGGACCAGGGACCTGAAACCTGTTTGTAATCCTGCGTGAGAAATAAAACACCCACAACCTGAGACTTATGTAAAATAACTGCTGGGAATCTCTCTCTCTCTCTCTCTCTCTCTCTCTCTCTCTCTCTCTCTCTCTCTCTCTCTCTCTCTCCCTCCCTCCCTCCTTCCTTCCTTCCTTCCTTCCCTCCCTCCCCCCCTCTCTGTCTCTCTGACTCTGTCTCTGTCCTGTCTCTCTGTCTCTGTCTCTCTCTGTCTGTCTCTCTGTCTCTGTCTCTCTGTCTCTGTCTGTCTGTCTGTCTGTCTGTCTGTATCTATCTATCTATCTATCTATCTATCTATCTATCTATCTATCTCTCTGTACCCCAGGGCCTCCTGGTCCACGAACCTGAATGCAGCTGCAGTCTTTCTGGGAATCTCATGCATCCAGCACTCAGGGGCTGGGGCCGTTGTGGTCCTGCTTCCTTCTCTGTCCCTGGTCACCGCCCTGGCAGCTCTTTACATGAGGCACCTCGACCTGATCTATCAGCCGGAGAAACGTGAGTCACACCTTACCTTAGGTTGGTGGGTAGATGGGGTAGACTTTTTTTTATCTCCGTCTCAAATTGCCTGCAGTGTCTTTGAACTCTCAGAACTGTGGGAGTCTGCAGCCAGAGAACGTCCCGTGTCTCTGCCTTTACCTCCTCATGTGGAACCAGCTCCATCTCTCAGACACTCACAGTGTCTCTGTCCCAGCTTGGCAGTCACAAAGCACAACTGCTCTAGAATCTCATTCATCTATGTCATGACAAACTTTTACATTCACAATACATGTACACAATATTACATATATAACACTACACATTAGACACCGTGTGAATACATATACACATACGCATACACATACACAATACGCATACACAATATTACATATATAACACTACACATTAGACACCGTATGAATACACATACACATACACAACACGCATACACAATATTACATATATAACACTACACATTAGACACTGTGTGAATACATATGTTAAATACCCTTTTTAAAATCCTCTTCTCAGTGTCATCATTGTTCACCAGTAAAGAAAGGTGTTTGTGGAAAGTGAATTGCTTCATCTTACTTTAAGTTTGATTCTTTCTGCTTTGTTTTCTGAGACAAGGTCTCATTACGTACACAAATTTGGCCTTGAACTATCTGCGTGTGCCACACTGCCCTTAAACTCAGGATCCTCACCTCCTAAAAGCTAGGACTACAGGTATGTGCCACTGTGCCTGGATCATAAATTCATTTATTTTTAAACATTTTAAAGCATATATGTAATTTTATATTTTAGATTATATACAATCTTGTATATATTTTTTAAAACTTATGTATATATATATATATATTTAATTTTTAATGGTAGCATGTAAGTGCAGTTTCCCTAAGAGGCCAGAAGAGGGCATCAAATAGCTCCTCCCCTTGGAGCTAGAGTTACAGGCAGTTGTAAAAAACCTAATGGAGCCTGAGGACTGTTTCTCTGCAAGAGTAGCAAGTACTCTTAATCACTAAACCATCTCTCAGCTTCTAAATTTACATTTAATGGATACATCAAAACATAAGGCATGCATATTGTTGGGTATCATGTGATGTTTCAATTTGGATATACATATTTTGTCTGTAGTGTTTAAATTAAGTTAAACACATTTCATTATAGTAAAACATTCAAAACCTTTTTTCTAGTTTTTTCAATGCATGTACTTTGACTGGACTGCTGGTACACACTTGTAATTTCATCATTTGGAAGGTATAGAGAGGATTGAGGGTACAAGGCCAGCCTCACAGCAGTCACATGATCGAATTTGAAGCCAGAGTGAGGTACCTGAGACCCTGCCACAACAAAACAAAACAAAACAAAACAAAACACACAGCACACGGCTGTTACCTATAGTCACCTTGCTTTACAATAACACACTGAACTTCCAGACTGTATCTAAATGTAACTCAGCACCCACAGACCAGTCTTCCCCAATCTCCCTCTATTAATCAGGTTCTCCAAAGGAACCGAATTGATGGACTGTGATATGTACTTCAATTAAGAAGTGTAGCTGGGTGGTAGAAGCACACGCCCTTAATCCAAGCACTTAGGAGGCAGAGGCAGGAGGATGTCTGTGAGTTCCGTGTTCCCTGGGTCTATAAATCAAGTTCCAAGACAGCTGGGACTGTTAAACAGAGAAACCCTGTCTCCGAAGAAGAAGAAGAAGAAGAAGAAGAAGAAGAAGAAGAAGAAGAAGAAGAAGAAGAAGAAGAAGAAGAAGAAGAAGAAGAAGAAGAAGAAGAGTAATAGAGTAATGCCTTAGCTTTGTAGTCATAGTATCTACTGATTTCTTTTACATGCATCCAATATTCACCATCAAGTAACATTCCTGAACAATATAGCAAAGTAAGTTTCTCAAAATACTGAGTTTCTCTCTTCCCTGCCTCCTAATTCCTCCATCACTCCTCAAAGGTGGCAGCAACTGGCTTTCCACTTTCAGTTTCATTTCTGGGTTTTAATTTACTTATTAATGGTTTTATGTGGTTTTATGAGTTTAATGTAAACCTGATGGGAGATGTCATTCTGTAAATCTGTCTCTCTTATTGGTTGCTGAATAAAGCACTGTTGGCCAATAGGGAAGCAAGACAGGTGGGACTAGGAGTCAAGGAGGATTCTGGGAAAGAGAGGCAGAGGCAGACACAATGTAGCCCGCCAGAGGAGTAAGAAGTCCGGACCCTTTTCTCTTGTAAGAGAAATACTTAGATTAACCATTATGGGTTAAATACTTAAGTCAGAGCTAGCCATTAAGAAACAGAGCAAACGGCCAACAGCTTTATAATTAATATAGTGTCCTGTATGTTATTTGGGAGTTCAGACAGCGTGGCAGGGCCCAAGGGACTGGCAAAGAAAAATACACTCTACATAAACCTATGTGTTTACCTTTTTTTATTTCGTAACCTATGGTTTGGGTATCATATCAATGTACAGTATTTGTCTCTTTGTGGTGTATTCCCTTTAAACAGATCCCCTCAAGTGTCACACATGTGGTAACAGGACAGAATTTTCTTTATTTTCAATAGTCCAGTGTATCTGACATATCAACTCCAGTCATTTTAAACAGATGACACTGACAAAGGACTCACTATGTACTCAAGGGTGATCTTGAAGTACTGATCCTTCATCACCCAAATGCTTGAATGACAATCATGTGGTTCAACACAAAATACACTTTTTATTCACTCATCTGTTCCTGGACAGCTAAACAGAATACACCTCTTACCTAATGTAAATACTGCTGCAATGAATACAGGTGTGCAGAACCTTCTATGCCTTGGAATCATGTGCCCAGAAGTAGGTCTTATTCTCTTCAAGTCTGAGTCCACCTCCTGCTGCTTTCTTCAGCACCCCCATCTCCCACACCCCCATCCTTGGTACCCAGAAATTCCTCACACACTCTCCAACTCTCCGTATTTTATCAACACTAATTTTCTCCTTTTCCTTTTTTTTTTTTTTTTTGGTTTTTTGTTTTGTTTTGTTTTTTTCGAGACAGGGTTTCTCTGTATTGCTTTGGAGCCTGTCCTGGAACTTGCTCTGTAAACTAGACTGGCCTCAAACTCACAGAGATCTGCCTGCTGCTGCTGGGATTAAAGGTGTGCGTCACCAACACCTGGCTCTCCTTTTACTTTTAAGTGTGGCCAGGTTGAAGGTGAAGTGATGTCTCGTCATGATTTTGATTGGCATTTTCCAAATGATGAGTGACACGATCTTGGCAATGTTCATCAGCCACTTCATGTACTGTTTGATAATTTATTCAAGCCCTCTGTCCATTTTTTTTAACCTGGTACGTTTGCTTCTACTTAATGTCGACTTGCAGAAGTCTGTTATATCCTAAATATTGACCATATGCTGAATGTGCAAATTATAGTCAGTTTCTCCCATTCAACACCGGCTTCTTGCCTAACTCACACTGCTTACTTTGATATGAAGTTTTTACATTTACCCTAATAATCAATCTCTCTGTGTGTCTCTCTGTCTCTGTCTCTGTCTCTGTCTCTCTCTCTCTCCTCTCTCTCTCTGTCTGTGATGCGGATGTCATATCCAAGGAACCAAGGAACCAAGACAAAGTGCAAGGCCACAAAGAACTTTTGCTTGTTTCCTCAGAGAGGTTGATGGTTTTAGGTCTTTAATCTATTTTAGGTTAATGTCTACACTGTGAGGTAGACATCCAGTGTTGGCTTTACGGACGCTGTAACGATACTCGACACACAATTACTGAAAGTGAAGCTAAGTATTTAATGTAGAAAATTACTCACAAGATACCAAACCCCGAGAAGCCCAGCAGATCTCAGCTAGCGACTGGACCGGAAGCCGAACTCCAGGAAAAGAGAGCGAGACTTCCTGTGCGCTGTCTTTTATGCCTTCCCCCCGTAACGCCCCTAGCCATGCCCAAAAGTGGGCTTGGCTAGTGACGTAGTTCCGCCTACGTATGTATACGTCTTTACGTCCAGCCGTATACGTCTTTAGTCCTGCCTAAAGTGGGTGTGGTTAGCGGTGTGGTAAACCGCCCTTTTATTACCTCATCTGTATGCGCCTCTAGTAAGTCACATGTTTAATGGCGGCATAGACTTAGTAAGTCACATGTTTAATGGCGGCATCAGACTTCCTCCTACAATCCAGCCTCATTCTTTTGTATGTGGTTGTTCACTTTCTTCATCTCGCTTTCCTTCTGTAGAATATCGGTACTCTGTTGAAGATCATTTAGGAACATATACCCAGGTTCTTTGATTCCAGGCACCAAAACTGTAATATTCTCTTTCTTCCTTTCTTCCTTCCCTCCCTCCTTCCTTCCTTCCTTTCTCCCTTCCTTCCTTCCTTCCTTCCTTTCTCCCTTCCTTCCTCCCGCCTTCCCTTCTTCCCTCCCTCCATTTCTTGTTTGTTTGTTTGTTTGTTTGAGACCAGGTTTCTTTGTGTAATAGCCCTGGTTGTCCTGGACCTCAATTTTTAGACCAGGCTGGCCTCTAACTCACAAAGATCTACTGCCTCTGCCTCCCAAATGCTAGGATTAAAGATGTGTGCCATCACACTTGGCTTTGAGAACCACACACTTTCTATCACTGTTGCTTTGCGATGTGCTTTGAAATTAGAGAATATCAGGCATTCAAATTTGCTTTCCTTTCTCCAGACTATTTTTGACTATTCAAAGGGACTTGAAATTCCATACAAGTTTAAGGGCTTTTTCCCTGTTTTACACACACACACTCACACACACACACTCACATACACACACACACACACAAACACTGCTATGATCTCTTTGGCTTGAGTTAACATTTTAACGATATTAAGACTTTCAGATAACAACCAGCAGGCTTTTTCCATTTATTAGAATCATCTTCAATCCATTCATATACTTTTACTTTTCTGAAATTGTATCTCATGTAGCCTAAGATGGCCATGAATGCATTACACAGCCAAAGATAACACTGAAGTCCTGATCCTCCGGCCTCACTTCCCAAGTGTTGGGGTGGATT